ATTTTATTTTATTTTTTGGTACCGGGGATTGAATTTGGGTCCCTGCGCTTGCAAGGCAGACGGCCGAACCACTGAGCTAAATCTCCGGCCCATGAAAATTATTTTATATATAAATTGTGTAGAGGCTTGGCTATATAATCTACCTGACATGGGCACGTTTCATTTGTGTGATCAGTCTTGATTGCTTTTTTTTGGCAGTCAAGAGATTTGAATCCAGGGCCTTTGACCCGGGCTTTATCCCTAAACCTTTTTATTTTTTGAGAGTGAGTCTCACTAAGTTGCCCAGGCTGGGCTCAAACTTGCTATCCCCTTCCCTCAGCCTCTCAGAGCACTGGAATTACCTGTGTGTGTCACTGCCTGGCTGATCTTAAATTTTAACCTGTCTCCTCTACAGAAAACTATATGGTTCTGCTTTCCCTCATATAACTTAGCAAAAAACAAAAGTAAAAATTTACTACATATCACTGCCACTATTACAAAGAATAAGGAAGTTATTTCCAAGTAGAAAGATTCCTTATGTCAGCTAACATAGGTGTGGTGTGTTATAAGTATTCAGGCCTACTCTTATCACTCATGCACAGATGGTTGGCATTGTTCCAGCAGAGATGGCCCCAAACCCTTAAAGTGTAAACAAGAAAAAATTTGCAAGTTCTTATGAAAAATTCAAAGTGCTTGTTGTGCTTCTCCATTAAGAAATTGTTAATGCCTTTACTACTTAAAGTTTCTATATAAGTAGATGAAAAGCAGAAACCACTTTTCTTTGAGAATAGAGTTTAAGAAATTGAAAACAGTGCAATGAGTCATTTTCTTCAAATAGCACTTTTTTCAGAAGAAGAAGAAAGGAGAGTGGTAGTTGATGGTCCAGTATGAATTGGATAAGGTCTCTGCTTTAGTAAAACTTACTCATCAAATTAAGGCAGGCATTTATTGTTGGAGCTTCCAAAACCAATTTACAGTGAATGCTGAAAATCTTAAAATGATATTTTGAAGACTTTATCAAATTCATAACAACTATTATTATGGTACATAAAATTGTAATGATTACATTATCTATCTACATTTACTAGTATTTTACAAAAATTAAAACTTATATACATAATTGTGTTGAGGTTTGGGCCAGCTATTTTATGCTAGTTTTGCATTACAAACTTGAACCTTAGAGAGTTAAAGTAAATGGTCAGAAGCGTAGCCCAAATTGTAATTGGCAGAGCTAGGAGTGCAGCCTAAGTCTTGTAACATTGTTAACTTTTTGGTCCAGTGGTTTTACACTTAGTTAAATGTATCTTTTATTCCATAGGCAAAAGTCTTTCACGATTTCAAGTTAGTAGTAAATGGATTTCAGTATTTCTTATCCTGAGTAAGAAATGACTTTTGTTTTCTTTGATTCATAGGTAATTATGGAAATTTAGTTTCCTTTTCCAAGGAAGGTGTGTAGGAAAGTAGCTAAGGGAGTACTTTGGGAGTCTCTCCATAAATTAGTTGGAATTTTTCAGTTTGAGGAATTTAACTCTTCCATTTATTCAGTCATTTGTATCTACATGAACTCATGGATGTTTATTTTATATTTATATTTTGTATTATAACCCATTTACAGTGTTATTTACGATGTTTCTCCAGTTGTTTTAGATGCCTTTTCAGACTGAGTTCTGTGTCCTTTTCATTCTTTTCAGGGGTGGGGGGGACGGCAGTTTTAAACTTTCTGAACCTACAGTATACTCAGGTTCATTTTGTATATTTCCTCTTCCAAACCTAGAATCAACCATTCTTATAAGAGACCTAGTTTCTTTTGTTGGAAATTGATATTCAAAACCAAGATGTAGGAACTGGGTGTGCCCATTGCTACTGGAATTTCCTTGTTTTTAAGCTTTTTCAGCAGATGGAGCTAGAAAAAGTATTAATGGTTCATAATTTATATATGTGTGTATGTATATGAAATTATTATTTCTGTATGTGTATCTATATGAAGTTAATACTGTTAAGTTATACAGGTTTATGCTGATGGCTGGACTCTAGTACCACATTCTAGATTCATTTTAGCCTTCTTCTTTGCTTATATGTATTGTAGTCAGCAGGACTGGGCAAGGGAATACATAATATACAGGACATATAACGTATAAGGTTATTTTATGATAATTAACTAAAGAGTCAAATGCAAAGGAGTGCAAGAGATCAATAGCACACTAGAAACACAAAACATTCAACTGAGGGCCTGGATCACAGACACCAGTTTCCCATGCAAGTCCAGCTAAAGGATTAGAGTCCAAGGCAATGTCCTCCTTGAGTCCAGCCAGTGGCCTAGTGCTCACTGCAGTGTCTCATGCTTGTCCGTATTGAGGATCTGCACCTGGAAGGCCCAAAGGCCAGAGGTGGTAGCCAGAAAACCTATGCTTGTGAGATGAAGGATCTGTGCCACCAAGCTGAGGGATCCACATTGAAGCCAGGAAGTGATACACACAGTAAAAGAGCTCCCCTGATGAAAGCAGCAGCCATTCCCAACAACAGTGAGCCCTGAGCTGCTCCTCTAATGAAAACAGCCTCGTTTGCATCAGGAAAACCGTCTGCAGCAATCTTCTCTTAGAAAATCAACAGGCCAAGATCTTCTCCTGGTGGCTATTAGTAGCAATCTTCAGATGGATCCTCCATGCCCAGACCATGCTGCTTTAGTTCAGCTGGGCGTTGTAAGTTGACTATTAGTCAGTACTGTATGTAACCTCTGTCTCTGATCTACAATCTGTGTTTTGTTCAGTTTTAGTATTGTTAATCTCTACTTCTATAAGAAACATCTTTACTAAAGTGTAGTTTTAGTGTGTAGCTCCTTTTATTTTTAGTTTTAGTTTGTAGCCATGACATTTTTAAAAATTATATAGGCCAACATTTTTTAATATCTCTCACCCTGCAGTGAAGGTGTGATATACATTTGTAATCTTTTATCAGCATCTACTTCTATCTTAGCGTCCCTCTTCTGCCTATTTCCTGGTTGGTTAAAAAATGCTACTAGTCACAGCAGTGCACACTGTGTTAATTTTAGTCACTCAGAAGGCTGAGGCAGGAGGATTGCAAGTTCAAGGCCAATTTGGATAATTCAGAGAGACCCCGTCTCAAAGAAAGATAAGGGCTGGGGATGTTTCTCAGTATTAGGTCACCCTTGGGTTTAATCCCTAACACTGGGTGGAGATGTGGGCGGTGGGTAGGGTGGGACTGCTACATTTAGTTTCACTGTTACAATGCATAGTATTTCAGTGTCCAAAATTAAACCTCATCTTTCTCTCCGCCTTTCCTTCCTTCTTTCCTTCCTCCGCTCTCTCCCTCCCAAAAGAGAGCTCCTTGGCTTTTTCTGGTCTAGCACTGGTCTAGGTCTCTCTAGCTATCCTCTCTCTTGGCCTCTTTCTTTTCTTGGCTTCTCCATTCCTAAATAGGCACCCTCCTCTCTGCATTTGTGCCAGTACCCCATTATGTTACCTTTTCCAGCTTAGGACGTGGTTTAATATGTAAATCTCCCCTCAGTGCTTATCTTGCATATTATTCTAAATGGTTTTAACAGTCCTACCCCACTTTCAGCAACTTGAGTCACTTCACCAAGTATAAAACCAACAAAAGCTCTACTGGATTATATTAAATTTATTATTTTGGGAAATGTCAGTATCTTTATAGAATTTACCATTTAGGAACTTTACCTGTGTCAGTTATCTGTATGTGTGTGTGTGTGTGTGTGTATGTGTGTGTGTGTGTGTGTGTGTGTATTCACATGTTTCTAGTTTTTCATGTAGTTTGTGTACACCAAACTACAAGATTAGTACATGAACTAGTAACTCATGTCTAACTCATGTAAATAAACTAGTTTGAATAAGGACCAATTTCTGGGTAGTATCTGAAGCACTGTTTCTGCCCTTAGTTGTGTGTTCTGTAAAATTTGAGGCTCTTTTCTTTGAAATACTTATAAGCTGCTTCTTAAATATTGTGTCCTGGTCTATCTGTTTCATCAGTGGGTTATAACTGTAAGAATCACTTAAAATAGAAGACTACTATATTTTAGTCAGAAGCATTATTTTCATTTCTGGTATTTCAAGAAGATATTTTTAGAAGGTTTTTTTTGCTTGTTTTGTTTATCACCACTCTTGAAATGCCTTTACCATTCACCTTAAAGTCCATCCTTCCATTATGAGCTTAGAATTTTATAGTTTTTTGGAAGCAGAGGTAAGAAAGTCAGTTCTCAGTATAATCTTTTGCTATGGTGTTTAAAGTTTTTTTACATAATTTGAATGTTACCAGAACCTTCAGTTTTTCATCACAAACACACTTCCAAGTTAACTCAAGTTTCTCGTAAGTTGTGTGTAACTGTTTGATTTCTTTGGAGTACATTTTCTTTTAGAAGTGCAGTCTTCATTTACTGTTGGATTATAGCTTTGCTTTAGAAAGGGAGGTTTTTTTGTTTGTTTGTTTGTTTTTGGTACCGGGGATCAAACTCGGGTCCTTGCGCTTGAGAGGCAGGCGCCGGAACCACTGAGCCAAATCCTGGCCCATAGAAAGGGAGTTTTAAAAACTACCTTTATGTTACTAGTTGGGTATAAAGAAGTAATGCTAGAGACAAGACTATTTCTCTCATGGATATTTACAAATAAATTTAGAAAACAATCAGGCTTATTAATATAGCAATAAATCTTGCTCAAGCAAATCTTTAGAGCTGTATCCTCCTCAGATCTTGCTGCTGTGGTACCTTTCAACTCCTCTCACTTCCCTTCCCCTCCCCATCAAAAATGAGGAGAAAATCAAAGTGAATGGGCAGAATTTGTGTGGTAAGAGTACTAAAAAGATGTTTATACTGGGATCCCTGTAGAACTTTTCATGATTTTGTAAAGAGTTTAAAAAACTATGAGACCTCTCTCTTTTATCAGTTACTTATATTTTAATATCTCATTAAATTCCTCCTGTAATCTTTGCTTTTCAAGCCAAAGAAGCAGAAGTGATAATTTTCTGGTTGATAGGTTTTTATTCTCCCACAGATTCATCTGAAAACTACGTTAAGACAAAGACTTTTGAAGGCTTCTGTGCGTTACATTTTGCTGCAAGTCAAGGACATTGGAAGATTGCACAGATTCTTTTAGAAGCTGGAGCAGATCCTAATGCAACTACTTTAGAAGAAACCACACCATTGTTTTTAGGTGATGTATGCTAGTTGTAGTCCAAATGTAGTTATTTTGTTAGAGAAACTGTTACACTTATGGAATTTTTTTTTTTTTTTTTTTGCAAATATACCATTACTTCTGTGATTCTGAAACTGAAAAGGTATTTTTAAAGGTTTCCTTCTTGTTTTCTACCCTGGCATGGTAACATCTGGGGCTTAAATGTTTATTTAAAGTTGAAAATCTGTTCTGAGTTATATTCATCTTCCTTGTTAGCTTAAATTTGAAGACTGGATAGTTTTTAAATTGTAGCAGTATTTACAAGGTTACATGTGAATATTTTGTAACTGCTTTTTTATTTTCTTTTATTGAGTTTATTGGTACTTTTTAAGTATACAGTACAGTTACATTCATCAATGTGATCTTGTACCTTTACATGCCAGATCTTGGTTCTCATTTTTCCACATACCCCTGCTGTCCCTTCACCCTTGCTTTCTTTTCTTTTTTTTCTTTTTTCTGTTTTTTTCTTTTTGGTACTGGAGAATGAACTTGGGTCCTTGCCCTTGTGAGACAGGCGGTGGAACCACTGAGCTAAATTCCCGGCCCTACCCTTGTTTTCTTAATATTAAAAAATTATGAAGCTTTTATGGAAGAAATCAAGAGCTAATCCTTTAATCCCAGCTAATTTGTTGATGATATGGATCACTATTCATACTTTCTTAGTTATGAAGTTCTAATATTGTTTAAGGATGATGGCCAAATTTTAAGTGCCTACTTCTACTGTCTTTTTTTCTTTATTTTCTCATTCCTTCCCTTCGATTTTCCCATAAAATTCAGTAGAATATGAGAAATTAAGAGATTAAGCCATGTAGAATAGAATCTATATATCTAGACTACAGTTTTGGTTCTACCACATGTAAATCAAATGTTTACTTATTTACTTTATACTTCATTTTTTTTCACTTGTAAGAGTAATATCTTACTGAGTATTTCTAGGCTGAGAATAAAAGATGTTGGGGAAGAACTTTTTTGTGAACATAAATATGTTTATTTTAAAAATGTACGTTTGGCAAAATTCATTCTTTTTAGCCTGTGGCGTTTGGTGTACGCATAAGATTCTGTAATGACGGCAGTCAGGCTATGAACCTTCTCCTCACCCCCAAATTCCATTTTGCTGACTGTTGTTTTGTACAGTGGACCCTTGACTTATGAATGAATCAGTTCGTTATGGAGGGCTGGCTGTAACTCAGGCTGGTTGTAAATCAAGACTTTTTCTCATAAGAAATAATGGAAATACCCATAGTGTGTTCTGAGCCTCTCACAGCACCCCTTGACTAAATAATAATAAAATAATAAAAAAGGGCTGTATAATGTACAGAATTTACCAGAACCACCAATAGTTTTCCTAGTGTATTCACCAAAAAGTTATAAAATGAGCCTCGTTTCCCAGAAACAATAATTTTATACTGTGCTCACCATTCACGTTGACATCTGTGGCGTGCGGGAAGGGAGGATGGAGTGGAAGGCAGTTATTATTTGGGAAGAGAGTCTCCTTCCATAAGAACATTGGGAATCTGGCTCTCTGGTGTCCTTTCTCTCTTTGGGAGAGTCTGAAGCCCATAGGACCTGCTTCTGGCTCACTAGGTCTCAGCCTTTTCAGAACGAAAAACTGGTCGGGCTGGGGATTTAGCTCTGTGGTTCCGGTGCCTGCCTTGCAAGCCCAAGGACCCGAGTTTGATCCTGGTACCCTGCCCCCCCCAAAAAAAAACAAAACTAAAAACTGGTCTAAAGTTGTCTGTTTCTGTCTTTAACACTGTTCTGTAGTATGACGTGACATTATCATTAAGCAAGTAAACGCAAATATTGGCATATTCTCTGTCTGGGTGGGTCTTCTCTACAAATATTTATACCTCTGTCCATTTTTTCAGGATTTCCTTTACTTCATTAGAAGAACTTTGCTGCACTGTTTGTTGATATGCCCCCTCTTCTTATGGTACTGGGGATCAAACTCAGGACCTTGTGCTTATGAGGCAGGCGACATAACCACTGAGCTAAATCCCCAGCATCCCCGGCATCCCCCTTTTCTTAGAAAGCTGCCATTCTCTGTTGCTCAGCCAGATGTTGCTGCAGTTCCTCTGTAGACCATTCCTCTGAAGGTTCCTCCACCAGTTCCTCAACATCATGACTGCCTGCAGGCCTGTTTGCTATAGTGACATTGTCATCATCCACAGGGTCAGCTGAAGGCCCAGGCTCCTCTACATAGCCTTCAAAGTGTCTCCTATACACAAGCAGATCTCACTGTCCTTAAAGAGACATTGGCCCAGGATTTATCAGTTAACCTCACACAGGAAAGACAGGCTTTTGGGTTATAACTCAAGACTTTGGTCATAAGTTAAAATTTGTGTGTGAGATGGTCTTAACTCGAGAGTCCACTGTACTTTGTATTGAACCCAGGACCCCACCCATGTTAGACAAATGCTCTACCATTGAACTACATTCCCAGCCCATTTTAATTTTTTTTTTGTAATTTTATTGAGTTTATTGGTACATTTTAGGGATACAGTACAGTTACATTCATTGTTGGGATCATGCACCTCTACATGGCAAGTCTTGATTCTCATTTTTCCATTTTAATTTTTATTGTGAGACAGGGTCTCACTAAATTGCCCAGGCTGGCCTCAAACTTGTGATCCTTTTGCCTTAGCATCCATAGTAGCAGGGATTATAGGTGTGCATCTTAGTGCTTAGCTTGCTTTTTTCTTTTCTTTTTTTTTTTTTTAATTGAGTTTATTGGTACAATCTAGGTATACAATTGGGATTCTGTACCTTTACATAATAGGTCTTGATTCTCATTTTTTCCCCTTGTCCCTGCCCTCCCTTCACCTTCCCATCCCCTCCCCATTTACAAACCCTTTATTTCCATTTTTTCAGTTTCTCATATTTTTTCCTCTCCCTTATTACCTTTCCCCCACCCTTCCCACTTTGACTACACCATTAGCCCTTTACTTCCTATTTCACATTATTAATTATCTCATTAGGATCCTGTGTACTATTATAGTTTTCGCACCAAAGAAACTATTCGGTATTTCAGTAAAGAAATCTCTGTATGAACATTAACAATAGGGAACCCTAAAATAAAACTAAAAAGGAAAGTAAAAGAGAAAAGGCAGTGATGTAACATTAAAATAATCCTTAATTCTAGAGATGAAAATTTTCCCCAAACATATTAAAATTGCTTCTTGCTCTTATAGTCTTATCTTATTTTTTTTTCATTATTTAGAGAATACTTTATTAGTTTCTGTAATCAAACCCATGTAGATATGACCTTACATATTTAGTATGATGTGTTACCCCTGTACACATGGAAAAAAATAAAAATAAAAATAAATTAACATTTCTAGACCAATATGGCTGTCCATTTCTGTACAATGCCAACTCAACACAGTAAATTGGGATGACTTTTTCCAAAGTTGGCAGCACCGTTAAAGTTTCCCAAAATTCAATTTATATAT